GGAAATCCTTGTGTCATTAACAGCAGTCTTAAAAACCAGAAGGAATCCAGCTGTTGGAAAACAGTGAATATTGCCAGAGCTGCACCAGCTAACCTCAGGACTTTCTTCATCCTCTGTTTATGGTTAAGGACCAATTTTTATATTCTATTAAACTGTAGAATCTGCATCATCTATGAGCCCCGCTGAGTAATTCAGAATGGGATAATAGTCCACCCAGTTCTGGAAATGGACCATTCCATTCTCAGACACCAACTTTAACAGCATCAGGAGATCTATTTAACCCTTTGAAGGAGGTAGGTAGTATAGGAGAGAAAGCATCAGGCTGGGAATCATGAGATCCGAATCCTATTCTGTCTCCTGACATCAGCCAGCTGTGTGACCTTGAACAAGTCACTGTAATCATTTTCCCTTTCTAGGCTCTGTTTCCTTACTTTAAAATAAGAGGATTGTACTAGATAACCTCTAAGGTTCCTTTTAGCTCTAAATCCTATGAATCTAATTGAGAACTATCTAAGTCAAATTTTAGAATGAAAAGATCTCTACTGAAACAATCTTTTGCCCCATTCAGAATGGGCTACTTGTGGATGCCAATAAAACTAGGATTTAAGAAGACCTAGATTTAAATCCCACCTTTGACAATTAGTAGCTGTGTGACCATGGACAAGTCATTTAGCAACTCTGATCCTTGGGCTACTCTCTAAACTTTATCTACAAGACCATTGACATTAGGTGATCTGTGTTAGTGGTAGGAGTTACCAGTCTAAGGAACTCACAAATACTTACAGGTAAGTGACACCAAAGGGCAGGTAGGTAGCAAAGGAGATACAGCACCTAGCTTGGAGTCAGGAGGACCTGAATTCAAATCTGACCTCATTCACTTACTAGCTATGTGACCCCAGGTAAGTCACTTAATCCTGTTTGCCTCAGTTTCCTCATCTGTAAAGGAGCTGAAGAAGGAAATGGCAAACCACTCCAGTATCTTTGCCAAGAAAACCCCAAAAAGGGGGTCATGAAGAATCAGAAATAGCTGAACAACAAATGAAAAGTATCGTGAGAATTTCCATTTAGGAGGCAGCTAAGTAGCTCACTGGATAGAGCTCTGCTCCTGGAGTCAGGAGGACCAAATTCAAATGTGACCTCAGACAATTATTAGCTATGCAGTCCTGGGCAAGTCACTTAACCTCTGCTTGCCTTAGTCCACTAGGGAAGGAAAGGGCAAACCACTCCAGTATCTTTGCCAAAAAAAAAAAAAAACCACCATGGACAGTATGGTACACAGGGTCACAAAGAATCAGACACAACTGAACAACTGAACAATCACCACAAGTGACTCCAAGAATTACAGATCACCTCGGGTCACTGGGATACCATTGTGGTCTGGCTAAATCAATTATTTCAGCCCAACAAACATTCTTTTGAACACTAGCCATATGTAAGCCCCTTTACTAAGGGCTGAGGAGAATGAACAAGATAGTCTCAATCCCTCCAGAAGCTCGCAACCTCAAGCATGGATAAGGCATCTTCGTTTCTCCTAATGGTAGAAGTAGGGACCAAAAGTTTTCTGCTTTGCTTTGGGTTATCATCCTTCAAAAAAAACCACATTGCAACCAACATAGTTTGCTGGCCCAAGTCTGGTAGAGAAACACGTTTCCTGTGCTGGCATTTCAGTCCCTGGTGTCTTTAGCCAGATTCCAAATGGAAATCCTTGTGTCATTAACAGCAGTCTTAAAAACCAGAAGGAATCCAACTGTTGGAAAACAGTGAATATTGCCAGAGCTGCACCAGCTAACCTCAGGACTTTCTTCATCCTCTGTTTATGGTTAAGGACCAATTTTTATATTCTATTAAACTGTAGAATCTGCATCATCTATGAGCCCCACTGAGTAATTCAGAATGGGATAATAGTCCACCCAGTTTCGGAAATGGACCATTCCATTCTCAGACACCAGCTTTAACAGCATCAGGAGATCCATTTAACTCTTTGAAGGAGTGGGTGATATAGGAGAGAGAGAGCATCAGGCTGGGAATGATAAGATCAGGATCCTATTCTGTCTCCTCCCAGCTGTGTGACCTTGAACAAGTCACTGTAGTCATGTTTCCTCTCTAGGCTCTTTTTCCTCAATGTGAAATAAGACAATTGTACTAGATGACCTCTAAGATCCCTTTCAGCTCCAAATTTTATTCATCTAACTGAGAACTAAGTCAAACCTTGGAATGAAAAGATGTCTATTGAAATAATTTTTTGCCCCATTCAGAATGGACTACTTGTGAATTCAAATGAAATATTTCCACTAATTAATTATCATGAAATATAAATGATAGTAAAATACATGATGGTTTAGGGACGTGCTTGGAATGCACTCCCTCCTCTTCCTCCTCGTAAGAGGCAGCTCTTAAAATGCTGAGTTTTCTTCAAAACCTCAACTGAAACACCTCCTCCTATACAAGGACTTTCCTGATTCCCCTAGCTGCTATTGGCTTCCCACAAAAAATTTTCCCATATTTTGTGTTGAGAACATTTTATAAATTCTTATTTTGAAAGCACCTTGAGGTCAGGGATTGTTTCGTTTTTGTCTCTGTAACCCCAGAACCTAATAGTGTCCAGTAAATGGTATGATAGACTGTTCTCAATCAATTATTGTCAATTGAGAAAAAAATATATTTCTTAAGGAGAGAGAGCAATGGTTTGTATATTTGCTATTCCATCTCCCAGGCCAAAGCTTTCCTTTGCACAAGTGAGCCCATTTCCAGAATGCAGTCTTTCCTCAACTTCTCCTCTTAGAAACTCCAGCTCCCTCAAACGCTTGATCTTGCCATGACCCACAAATATTCCACATTCATATTCTGAAATTCCTCCATTTTTATTATCATTTATTATATTATACTTATTCATAATATTCATATTATATTCATATTCATACTATATTCATAATATAGTAATCAATATATTATCAATACAAAATATTTATTCATACTATGTTAATAAATATATTTGTTATATTATTTAACTTTGTAATCTGTTGTCATTCTACCTCTCCCTGTGTTACAACTCCAACCCCCACTCTTTATCCTCACTGAGACCTCCAATCTCTTCACCCCTCAATTCTTTCCCAGGCAATCACCCTTGCACTGACTACACTTCTCTTCCCTTCTCCATCTTGACCCTTTGGTTAAATCACTTCAATTTCTACACTGTCTGCTTCTCTAGAAACCTTTGCCCCTTCATCCCTTTGAACATCTTGCCCAGTCAAACCACAGCTTTGGATGACGCCCACTACTCCCTTTTCTACTACTCATGTGCTGCTGAACAAAGCTGGAGAAAATCTTAAAACCATGCTGACTGGGTTCATTTCAAGACGACATTACATAATCTGAACTTGGCCCCCACTATGGCAAGACAATCCTTTTATACCTCCCTCTATTCAACTGTTAAATTGATCTTCCTAAAATGAAGATCTAATCACATCACACCTCTTCCCCCATTCAATAAATTCCAATGGCTCCCTATTACTTTCAGAATCAAATATAAAATCCTCTGTTTAGGTTTAAAGCCCTTCACAACCTGTCCCCTTCCTACTTTTCCAGTCTTCTTCCATCTTACTCCAGGTACTCAGCAGTCCAAAGACACTGACCTTCTTGCTCTTCTTCACACAAGACACTTTACCTCCAAAGTTCAAGCATTTTCATTGGCTGAACCTTAAACCTGGAATACTTGCCTTTCCTCATCTCTGCCTTCTGGCTGCCCTGGATTCCTTCAAGCCTCAGTTAAGGTCCCACCTTCTGCCAGAAGTCTTTTCCAATCCTCCTTAATCTTAGTGTTGATCATTCTTAATCTTCTGTTGATTATTCTCCAATTTATCCTGACTACATCCTGTTTGTGAGTATTTTGCATATTATTCCTCCCCCCATCAGAGTGAGAGTTCTTTAAGAGCATGGACTGGCTTTTTAAAAATTGATTTTTTTTTTGCCTTTCTTTGTATCCTCAGCACTTAGCAGAGTGCCTGGTACATAGCAGGTATTCAATTAATGTTAGTTGCCTTGACTTGATCTGACTTGAGCGCATATATCAGATCCTGCCTCCTACATGAGAGATTTCCTCATGCCCTTGGTTGTTAAGGCTTCCTCCTTCTTAAAATTACCTCATATAATTTTCTATTTATTTACCTGTAAATCCCTGAAAACAGAAACCATTTCAATTTTACCTTTTTATCTTCAGCAGCCAGCATAGTGCCATGTAAAAAAAAAAATTTAGCAAGGGTTGGAGGGGTGGTCCAGACCTATGATTATACCAAGATGGAGAACTCTAAGTGTAGGAATTCCCTCCATGCATGCAGATCTACAACTCATCTGTAACTTACAATCCTAAAATATTACCTGAAGCACTGAGATGTTACTGGTGATCCCAAAACTGTCAGGAGGAAAGACTAAGACCCAAGTCTTCCTAATGGCAAAGCCAAGGGACTTTCTGCCATACCATTTCACTTTTTTTATAGCACAAGAACTTAACATTTATTGAGTTATCTGAGGGCTAACCAAAAACTCACTGTTGAAAATCTTTCTAAAATTTCCACTATACTGGCTTAGTAAATAGGACATTTGAATCTTTCTATAATGATTGAACACCTTTTAGTTCTGCAGAGTCATTTTCTGAACATCACTGAATATTATACAAGTCATCAATAGACCAACAGTATTGATTGAGCGTTTAATTTTGTGCCCAGGACTGTGCTAATAAGCACTCTAGGGAAATACAGAAGAGAAGTCATTGAAATAGAACACAGAAGAGAATTCTGGTTAATTAAATCTTTTGATTAATCTTTCTTCTCTTTGTCAAGGCTGCCTGCAGGAGGGTGTGGGGAAAGGCATAAAGACCATTCGCTTTTCTTTGTTTTAGGAGGATTCTTACAGACAAATGCTATTTTAAAGTTGGATGGTATGCCAAGGAAAGGGGAAATGGCTTTTATAAAACCATGATTCCATTTGAAATTCCTTCCTTACAGATTCGACTGAATAGCAGGGGACTGATCTACTCTGTTGGCTTGCTCTTGGCCTCGGTTTTTGTCACGGTATGTATACAACTTTCCAGTTAGTATTTTCATCTCTATGGACTGTTTCTCTTCATCTTCCCCTTGACCCTTTCATGCCTATATTTGTTTGGATGCCTTCTGCTGAGAGCATTTTCCTAATGGTCTTATGCTTCATGGTGACTCGGTGGAATCTTATTCAAGACCCAGCCAGCTTCCATTCTTTCCTGGAAGTAGGCCCTGGCAACACACTACAATCCTTTATCCTTGCCTGAAATAAAGCCAGGCCTCCTAGAGGGAAGCGGTCTTGTCTCACATCAGGCACATACAGCTTTATCAAGAAAATAGGCAAATCATCCACCGAAATCTAAGACAGCACATTCCTACATGTCTAGAAGTGCTGAGAGGTGGTATTCTTCAGTTAGTAGAATATTCTGGTTAACTGAGAGCAATCATATATTGCATAAACCGATGAGCAATGCTTAAAGAATTAGAATGCAATAAAGTGTGCTTAACATATATGCTAAAATGATACTGAAAATAATTCAGCCTTCCTTTGAAGATTCAGAAAATACTTCGGGATATCGTAAGATCCTGAAGTCAACACTATAAACTTCAGTGATTGGTACCATAAAGTTAGAAAGTTGTACTATATCTTCACTAAATCCATGAAAGTTGCTATTTTTATCAAATGTAATAAACATTCAGCTCAGAAAATATTTGTTGGGGTACCCACTATGTTCAATACACTTATTAATTTGTTGCCTAAAACTAGAGTTCAGATAAAGATTCTGAGTCCTGCTTGTTTCAATGGCAAATTAATCATCGTTTTCCTGGATCATGGTAATGGGAATGAGGCTTCCAACGTCATTCCAGTCTTTGTTTATTACATGTGATTTGTAAGTCTTTGGTCATCTTATCATTCATGATCCAAGAGTGGATTTTCAAAGTAGATTTGTGCCGATTCCACTCAAGGCCCTTCAGGTAGACCCCACGTCTTCCCCACGCCAAAGCCATTGTTGTGTGTCTGTTTGCAGGTATTTGGTGTCCACATGAACAAGTGGAAGCTGGACAAGAAGCTGGGGTTCGTGTGCCTTTTCCTGTATGGCATCTTCTTGTGTTTCTCCATCATGACCGAATTCAACGTTTTCACCTTTGTGAACTTGCCCATGTGCAGGGAGCACTGATCCACCTGGCAAGGCTGAGGTGCCATTTCCTTCTTTTTCCTGTGCAATACTCAACATGGCCGGCACCTCCACAAGAGCATAGGGTGCTTCCGAAGGGCCGTGAAGTACAGTCTATCCTGCTCGCTGTTCTCCTCTCTGGCTAGCCCTCCATTTTTCCTCTTTCTCACCCCCAACCTCCACCCTGTTCACCCCCATCGGGAAAACCCGATGTGTGTCGATGTGAAGACTTTCCACATTCATATGACTTTTCAATCTCTATCTCTCCGAACAGTGACTGGGATCCTAGAAGCACTGGCTGCTACCTGGCTCTGAGCCAGACAGACTTGCTCCAATTCCTCCTCTTTTTTTAAGTTATTTGATGGAAGACTAATCTAATTTATGACTTGAGATTGTGGGTAAAATAGAGAAGAAGAGGCTACACTGATTGTATGGGGTGTTTTTCTGAGGATAATTGTGGGATTCTGGGTTTGGGGTTGTTTTGTTCTTTTTTTTTTCCTTTTTCCAGAGAGCCTCTCTTACGTTTTTTCCTCCTGCATTTTGGATTTCAATCAATGATCCAAAGATCATAAGTGCAGTGTTTTATGGGAACTGAACCTCAAGGTACTTTGGAGTATGAGTGGCTTTACTGTTTATTAAAAGGAATTGATGAGGCAACAGAGAATGACTTTTTACTCGGAATTAGACATCTCTTTAAAGTCTTATAGGAAACACAAAAGGGAAAGCACATTGGAGGGAGGAAAACACTTTTCTGGTGTCCATTATGGTCATCAATTTATTGTTAGGATATTTCTAGTTTTCCAAGCAATAGTTCCAGCCTGCCTGAGCCTTTGATGAGGGGAGCCCTGGCTCATACCATCCACAAGGTACCAGGTACAGTCTGTGTCATAAGCTCCCCTACCTAACTTGTGATTTCCTCTGGTTAGAATCGTATTCAGGGCGACCCGGATAGAAACAAAAGGCTTCAGCCTTTTGTAAATGAATTAGAGACACTGGTTTCTTTGAAAAGAAAGAAGCATACTTTGCACAGACGTTGTCGATGAAGTCGCAATTTGCCACTCAGTAATTAGTACACTGGACCCAGCCAGATTACTAATGGGGGAACTTTCCTAACAGAACACTGCCAAGCTGACTCACCTCTCCCTGAGGGTCAGAGGGAGGACGAGAGGAACAGAGAGATGGCACTTCTTAAAATGCAGAATGTGTTCAATGAAGACTCGCTCATGAGCATAAGTTATTGTGAAAGTTTTTGCCAATCACTGCTCTTAATAGCCCTGCTATTTTGTATGATACTGTATTAATATGCAGAAAAATTCCACCAAGTTGAGAAACACCTATGCTTGTTACACTTGTATTTATTGAAACTGTGGACCTTCCCCATGCTGATTCTTGTATTTACTTTAAGCACTGATCACTTCTAATTCTTTCAGGACGTTCCCTCTCTCTGCCCCCTCCCTCTTTCCACACCACCCCCACACTCCGTACACATTCTGGTATGAAATGTAATGGCATATTACAAACTGATCGAATGTCTTTGTCTATGGTACAAACAGTGGCCAATACTAGTAAATGAGAGTATGAGGCCTATTTTTTAAAACATAACACACAAAAAAAGAAACCACTTATTTTTAATCGCAGCAGGAAACCTGTTCACAGAGCTAACACATTTATTGACCGTGTTGCACATTTGCACTTGATTATTTGAGATTGGTTTTCTTTGGACAGATAGTGTACAATAAACTTCTCTGATCTTTAGTCTTCATAAAGCACAACACATTACTTTCTATCCAGATCAGGATCCATATGGCATTAACTAGTTTGGCACCAACTAGTGAAAGCTGTCATACTCATCATATGGACAAATATTCACATCTGCAACTGCCTTCTATATTGATTTACCCAGAAATAGATGTATATATAATTAGCTACCTTAAATAAACAAGATGGTGGTGACTGTGGCAGAATGCAGAAGTGAACAGCATGGTTGATTGAAGACCTTTAAATCATAAAGGAACTTTATGCCCATCATCTTCTAAACTTTACTGTTACATGACAGTATGTTTAACACTGCACTCCATTTGTGTGGCTATGCAAATTGGAAATGATGTTCTAACACTGATAAGATTTAGAACTTTTACTGTGTTCAAATAGTACAATTCATTTTATTCTGCCAGTGTTTAGTCATGACATGATTCATGGTAATATCTCCCTAAAACTGTTTTTTTGTTTTGTTTTGTTTTTGTTTTTTTCAAAAAAAAAAAAAGACCTCGAGACCATCATTATAAAAAAGCCATATTTACAACTGATGTAGATCTGGAGGAAAAATTTCCCTAGGATTTGAAGAGCTTAGGATGAATTCCTGGGCAAACTTCAACATACAACCTGTTCCTCACCTAAAATTCAATGTAGCTCAGTTGGGGGAAAAAATGAACAAGGATTGATTTAAGTGTTTATGCTACTGGTCCATCAGTATCCATCTAAACAGGGTCTAGCAAGACTGTTTAGAGCTTTATCTGTGAAATAGCCATTATCCCACAGCAGCAATATGTGACTTATTTTAAGAAATATTCCATCCCTACGGCATCCCTATTACCTTTATTCTGAGTGTTTGTCATAAATGACATCATTGTGACATTTGTGAATCCTAGAAGTAATATGTAAGTACTTTAGCTATTTCAGTTTCACTTGTTGTCAGAGGTGTAATTATCATTTTCACTGCCCGAAGCAAGCAGCAGCATGGGACATGCCCTCAGACCAACTTTTAAAGCTGAAACCCGTTAGGAGTGAAAAGGGACCCAAAGACACCACGGAGGAGCTTCTGAGAAGGCTGGAGGTGGGAGGGAAAGGAAGGCAGGGGCAGGCTGGGGTTCTGTGGCCATAGGAAGGAAGCTTACCATCTATTAGCTTCCTATTTTAACTAATTAATCTTATTAATTAGGTGCTAAACTAAGTTATTTCTAGATTATGAACAAGTGCCCTCTAAATTTCATTGTCCTGGAGAAAATCTCTATCATACCCCCAGCCTTCAGTTACAGGTCTCTTGGTTGGTATTTATAGAAGCTATATTAGAAGAATCCATATATTGGTTATTATACTTTGAAGAAGCTGTCCTTTTGCTCCAGAGGGTAGATGCTTGATGTAGAGCTTGTTTTTTGTCTAAATGTATCTGCTGCCACTATGAAATCATCAAAAAATCGTATTCATGTGCTAAATCACTCAATGGGAAAGTTTAGTGGGAATACCCATTTCCCACATTCCCATGCTAACAGTGCTATTCTACAGGGGTCACACAAAGTAAAAATGAAAAGTTAAATTTTCCCATCTGAAAAAATGGTTGAACACACCTTCCCAGGAAACTTGAAAAATTAACCACAAAAATTGCAGCCAAAATGCGAGCTTCTCTCTCATATGCAGCCTGAGGAACAATCTAATACTGGACTCACACAATGTTAGTATGTTGTAGTCATCTTCTTAATTTGTTTGGGGAGGGGGGAGGGCAGACCCTTTTAAGCTCCTAAAACTGAGAATATCGCCACAGAGAAAATTTCCAGACAAGATTGTTAGGGGACTTGCCTCCTTAAATGGCCAAGTTCACAAGTGAAGCAATTCAATTACGTAGACAAAAAGAGATGCACACTGGCCCCTATAAATCTTGGTTTTTTTCCTCCTAAGCAAATCCTTGAGAAAATCCTAAAGAGTGAAACAGGAGAACAGAAAACAAAGTAAAATCTAGCCCCTTGTTTTCTGAAGAACACAATGCTTTAATTTCTGTGCTTGCCCCCCCCACCACAACCAGGCTGCTAAACCAAGGGTGGGACTCAGTAGCTATCTCCTTCAGTGACCACAAACATAGACAGATTTGGGGAATTAAGAAGCTGATAGGAGAAAGCTGATAGAAGGACTAAATAGCTTTTGCCCCTACCAAAGGAAAACTCTGTACCTGCATTTTTAGAAATAGTGCACTTTTTTGTAGATACATGTTTTGTATTTACAACAGAAAATATGTGGGGGTGGAGGGTGATTGGGTGAAGAATGTTTTTTAAGGATGTTTTTTCTTGGCCTTTGTACTCTAAGCACTCTACTTTAAGGCCATGAATATGCATGCTCTGGATTTGTGGTTTTGTTACGTGTTAAATAACAAATGTTATAAGCATGTAGTCTAAGAAAATTCCCAAAACGGTTTGTTGGTTGGTTTTTGTTGTTGTTGTTGTTGTTGTTGTTGTTGTTTTTAAAAAGTTGAAAATTTTAGACAATGCAAGTAGTAACACATACTATCTCAGTCAGTTCGGGGTACATAAAACAGGGGTAATATCTAATTTGCAATGAATATATCAAGGGTAGTTTTATACCTTTATTTAATTGTTCATGAAAACATTCAGGTAGTAAGAATGAAAAAAATGTGAGCTGGGTATTGTTTTGATGGGTGTGGAGCAAATATATTACTCTGTGTGAAACATATTTACTAACTCTTTCCAGGTCAAAGATTTGAGTAGATCCAATTAATTGTTCATTTCATCATAATAACTACTCCGTAATAGATATGACATACTAGTATTGTGTTTTGAACAGCATGGTCTGGAATTGCGAATCTCATTTCCCCTTTAAATTCTCTTAGACAACAGCTCTCTCTCTCTCTCTCTCTCTCTCTCTCTCTCTCTCTCTCTCTCTCTCTCTCTCTCTCTCTTTTTCTCTCTCTCTCTCTCTCACACCACACACACACACACACACACACACACACACAAAATGTTTCATAAGATGCCAAACCTCTGGATGAAAACTTTTAAAACTTGGTCAATCATACTAGTTGTTTCTAAGCATCCAGATGTTGTCACAGGGTAGATTTTGAAGTCTTTTCTCATAAAATTTGTATGTTCAGGACCACTGGTTTCATCAAAATAGAGGACTTCCAGTGTGGAAGCTTTCTCCCTTAGTGCAGATCAGCAACTCTTCCCAAACTTAGCATCTTGGAGAGTTTCCCAGGGCATTGAGAAGTTGAGCAACTTGTCCATGATCATAGGACAATTTTGAGTCCCAGGCAAGACTTGAACCCACGTCTTCCTGACCCAAAGCCAGCTCTCTGTCTACTACCCCAAACTGCCTCTCCTTATAAGGTTGTAATCAATGAAAGCACAGTCTTAAATTCATAGGAACTCTTTCCTGGAGCATCTTAGTGAAAGTAGGGGAGAAGCTGGGAACTAATCCTTGGAAAAATAGGCCCACATAACTATACAGCAAAAGATGATGATATCCCATATTAAAATTTTCAGAAGATGTCAGGACATTAAAATTCCACTATACCCTTTCCAACTGCTTATTCATGAGCATGCAATGTTGAATGTTGTAAGAATAAGACTAATGAAATTTATTAAACGTTCTTTGGAGATTATGAGCTGTGTGGAGCTACAAGTTTTCTTGCCTTTTTTGTAAGGGGTTAAGAAGAGGATGATCTCTTTTAGGGTTTGCTATCTAAAAGAAGCATAATTTCCCTACTTGGATTTTCATAAACAATTAACATGTACATAAAATTAAGCTTATATATGTACCTACAATTATGCTTGGATGTTAAATATTTTTCTACTCATTAGCAATGAAGTTTTAGATTAGTAGATTTCCCCTCCAGACCTAGGTAACAGAGAGTAGTTTAACCTTCATCTGATTTTGGGGTGTGGTGGAACCCAGTAACTCTGGTTCAGTAGAATTGCATATAGATCATGCAATGGAATGAGTCGAGTCTTGGGCACCTATGGAATCCTTATGCTTATTTTTTTAGGCAGGTTTCTTAAGAGGAATCCTAGAGCTCATAACATAAAAAGATAGTGTGTACTACTTGCAGGAGAATGAGTTTTGGTATCAGGACTAATCTTTTTTTTTTTTTGAAACAGGAAAAAACCAAACTGCATTCTCAGGTTCATCATGGTTTTATTTTTGAGAATAGATGTTTTGTGTCAAAATCATAGCTTGTGAAGGTAGGCCCGTTTTTCAAATGCTAAATACCAAACCATTATGCCATACTCACTAATATTCCTCTAGGCTCCTATGTACTTGAAAGAAAATATTTATTGTGGTTTGTTTCCAAGAATATTTAATCAGTCTAGAGTTTCTAAGCAGGTAAGATATCATTTCTATCATTGTTATAATTTTATTACTGAAGCATCAGTAATATTCTTCTCTTGTTACTGAGAAGTTATTCTTTTCTATTTATATTAAACTATCCTGTTTATCAAAATGATTTCACTTTTCAATTAAAAAAAATTCTACCTGAGGCAGATCATGCATGTACAGATTCATAAGAAAATGGATATTTAGTGTATACCTTTCCTTGCTACTCACTGAGGCCTGCAAATCCAATCCAATCCAACAAACTTTTTTTTTATACGTTTACTATGTTCCAGACACTGGGTATGAAAAGACTAGCCAAAACATAGTCCCTGACCTAAAGGAGCTTCTATTCTACCATGAACTGTAGCATTGTCGCCTCGTGGGAAAAAGAAGTATGGTCCATTCTTGATTATTCACATCTTTAATTACTGAAATATTAAACTACCATCATTTTGTATAGAATTGTACAAATAGATTATGACCATTTTAATACCATCTTCTTTGGCAGAAACCTACTCTTCAAGTTTGTTGTGTTTGGAGAGATTAAGGGGGAAAAAGCCACAAAGATATGGGTATGATGAAGACATATGAAGGGCAAGATTGCAGTAGATTAACTTCTGAGCAAAGGAATAGAGCATTTTATTATCTATTTAATGCGCATTGGAAAATATTTGGATTTAACCTATTGCATAAGGCATTCAGATGAATCACAGGAAAACTTTCTTGTTTACATGACATAACCATTTGTACTTTTCTAATCTAAGATGGTATGCTTATGTTAACCTGTTTGGTAGGGATGTTATGATTCCATGACAAAATAAACAGTTTGTATGAATGGCCATGTGTTCATGATCAAAATGATTCACAAAGTCATGAGGCTTATCTTGCCATTGGTACTGCCCTAAAAACAGTAAACACACCAGATATACATACTCTACTGCTCAGAAAGCTTAGTGGCAGGTCAGATGAAAAATCAAAAAGGATTTCTTCAAACAGGAGGTGAGGAAAGATAGAACTTTGCAACTATAGGTAGTCTGCCCATAATTCAGATGTGTACCATGCAGGGTACTGCCC